TGAGAAATAGTTCCCCAAAGTCCAACAATAACAGGAGTGTCAATCTCCTTGGTCCCTCACAGCGTTCACTGGTTCTTTCTTCTGACCTCCATGTCACTAATGTGTGCTGAAATGACATAGAGGTCAGCAGGCAAAACCGGTGAGAGATTTGGGGGGAGCCTATCTCAAAAATTGACTGGAGAAGAGTGGCACAGGGAGCAGAAAGAAGAGTATTATGTTTCTTAGGAGATTAATACTCCCAAAAAAGTCAGTTCTCCAGAAGACTTTGGAAGACCATTCCTCTTGGAATGGGTCACTTTAAGTGTTTCCCACAATATTTCCGAATATCAGCGCTATGCATTAATTGCACACATAATTGACTTAAAGTTTAAAGGGAACCTGTGATGATAGTGTACATATGCACTCAATGCTGACCTGCTTCTAGAAATGCCTGGTTGTCATGCTAATCCACTGTCTTCAATGGATTTGAAGTCATTAACCAAGAACAAGAATGCAGTTCAATGGTCATAACTTCATACTGTTTGTCTCCTACGGCTGCATTGTGTGTGTCTAATGGTAGGAATCAGGATTAGGGTGATCTCCAGAAGCCATTTCTGTACACACAGCAGGGAGTTCCCATCTCACACAGTTACATAGTTAACTCAGCCGAACAAAGAGGCCATTAAGTTCATCATTTAAAAACTACAGTGGTTGTGGTCCAAATGAAGGCAAAATAAATTCCTGTTGGCAGCTAAAGATAATTAGCTCATAGAGCAAAACAAAAGTTCTTCCTGACTGCACAAAGGCAGCTGGATTGCTCCCCAGCTTTAATGTACAGCAATGGCTGCCTAAACAGCTGATAACAAAAAGTAAAAGAAGAACTTGGCAAAAGTGGAAAAGCCTAAAAAGTGGGAAAGAAGGGGGAATACAGGGAAACTAGAATGATTTCGAGTCAGTTTATTTTTCAGGTTTATATGTTGTTAATCTGTTATCTATCTAAATACAACAGGGGCCAAATTTGTTGAACCTTGAAACTGACATAAGCAATTGGCATAATTGTTTATTCCATATTTAATTGAAAAAAACAGACCTTGACCTTCAATAAACAGAATATTTTAAATAAAAAAATTTTTTTTTGCAAGAATTGAAAAATTGTTTTATACATGACAAAAGATTCCCAGAGCACAATAGATTAACTCAAGTCCCAGCATCACAGCCACTGCTTGCTAAGCCTCAGTTTGTGTGATGAAACCTTTGACCGATAAGTCTGATAAGGAATGAGCTATTGCTTTGATGATTCATGGCCCTAAACAGCATGCTTATTTTAGTATAGCTCAGAGGAATACAAAAAGACTTCAGTTCTATCCATTGCCTAGACAGAACGCTACATAATAGTAATATGTCATATTTACCTGAAAAAATTAAACTTTTTTTGTATTTCATTTGTTTTGTAGTCATGATAAATAAATAAAGAAAATATGTTTAAAAAAAAACACTATACAAATTACAGTTTCACTCTGGACACAAACTATGACCTAATGGCAACATGCTAGTTATGGAGTCCATAAGGCAGCTATTCACACATGGACGGATTCCAAAAGGTTTTGGATCTGTGTATGACCACTCCTCCTCAGCATAGCTAAGCAACTTTACAGCTACCCATAGACATAATACAGAGGATAAAAATGGACCATTTAAAAGGACAATTTTTAAAAATTTGTACTTTATTTAATTTTTCTATCCCCCCTAAAAGAGCAGCTCACCCAGTAACGTACTTACTTAGCCCCGATCCAGCGATGTTCTCTGTCAGGGGTCACACAGCCTTAACAAAGAAAGACTCCGGCTGGCGACCCTACTAAAGATGAAGTTGCCCTTTAGGTTGAAGGTTTTTGGTAAGATCATTTATAGAAAGGAGGAATCAGCAGAAAAGATGATCTGTACAGCTGGCATTTTTGGGGGTTTTTTTCATCAAACAATGTTTCTGTCAAATTTCAGGCCTCAAGATAATGGAATGATTATACGTGAAACATGAGCATTACTCCTTCCTGAAACTTAGAGGCTCAACAAGTATTGAGGCCCAAGACAGCCGGGCAACAAGTATGTTTAGAAAGAGGTCAGCGGTGGCGGCTTCCATATTTCTTTCATTACAGGTTTTGTTTTTTGTTTTTTTACTAAGCGACAAAGGGGAAGCTCAAATTTCATAAACCAGGGACTGGTTTCATTTCAATGCTTCATGAGTTAGTCACTATAGTCCAGTGGTGGGGGAGGCTGCAGATGCAGCATGGCTCCTTTTGGCTAACAGTAATCTTAAAGTGGGTTGGAACAGACACAAAATGAATCTGGGCATGGGTTACAACGGCACCTCATTTACATATTAACAGTACTTTCAGGTCCAGATTCTAGATAAACCCGTTAATGGGTTGTATTTATAGGCCTAAACAGCACTGGCCTGAGAAACTGAACAGAGGTTTTAGTCAGTTCTACTCTAAATACGTCACAAACGAGAGTTTAAGCAGCTTTACAGGAATTTCCTGACACATACCACATAATAATAGCCATGTGGTATGTTTTTTTTATATTTTTAAAAAATCAGTTAACAGCTGTCCATGATAGCCTAGAGGCCTTACTACATTATCGATGGGACAAAAACTAAAGCTGACTAAGCATTTATGTCTTTAAAGGAGGAATACACATTAGCCACATGCCATTCTGGTAAGACAAGTCACATATGCAGTACAACAGAAAGAATGTAAACAATTTACAGTAGAATTAAGCACTCAGTTTTTTGGGGGGGTTTTTGCATATATCTACTGCTAGCAAGCAGTAGATATATGCAAAGACATAAAAAAAAAAAAAAAGTTACCAAATAGGTAATAACTTACCTGTGTCTCTGCCGCTCACTCCCGTCTGAAGTTCTGAAGATTCTCGAGCAGCCGTGAAGGATCATGGGCAATAGAAATCTTCGGCCGGGAGAAGAGGAGAGACACAGTGTACGTCAATGCACGCAGCCGGGTGCATGCACGCGGACAGACCCTGTGGGACACAGAAGACACAGCAGTCAGCGCTGGATCAGATACAGGCACTAGCGCTGGAGGGACTCCTGAAACTACTGGAAAGAAGATGATTGGATCAAGAGCTATCATTTAAGGTACGGTAAGTCCTTAAAGCAGTATTGGGGGGGAATTGTGACTTTAATACCACTTTAACTGTACCTTTAACTGTATTTATGTACCTTTCTCACCTTTCTTTGTATCTCATGTGACCTTTTTGCTTGTGTATATTATGTGGCCTTTTTGTTTGTCATAATTTCATTTCCTGTATATAATAACAGAGAATATTAGGATTGCACAGTAAATAAATTAGAGTGTATGAATAGATCAATTTGGCCTTTTAAGCAGAACACATTTAGCCCTCGTTTTGTAGGCTTTCTAAAGCTTACTACATGTTACATTCTGCAGTAAATGTACAACCTCTGTGCAATCTCCTTTAGATTTACTAACACCTGTGTAGTGCAAGGATCCTCAAAACTGTCCATTCAGTCTGTCATGCCTCCCAACTTTCTGAGATGAGAAAGAGGGACACCTTCCAGTACTATGTATTTAGGCAATGGACACACCCCCTACCATTCCCCCAGTTATGGGGACTGTTAACAATTTATATACCAAAAATGATTGGTTAAACCCCAACTTGTTGTTTTTGCACCATTACTTGTTCTTTATATTGGATTTTCGATTTTGCAAACATGCGATCATTAAAGATAGGATAAAGGCTTAGTGCATAAGAACACTTTTTTTCATAGATATCTGTACATCAGAACAAGAAGAGGGACAATTGAGGAGGGATTTGGTTCCAAAGTCCCTCCAAATAAAAGGAAGGTTGGGAGGTATGTGATATCCAAACATGCAATCCCTTGCACTACATATTTGTTGTTAAATCTAAAAAAAGATGGCACAGATTGTGACGTGTGTGGTCAGATTTAGAGTGCTAATACTTGGCAATATTTCAGGGTCACTTATGATAATGTGAGTACTGGTACTTGTAGTACTTCCCTAAGGTGTAACAATGAATGCTTCTGAATACTGCACAATATCATTGTTGCACACTTAAAATATTCAAATTCTTGGGATTTTTTTAGTATGAACTGGCTCCAGCTATTCCACTATCTACTGAGAAGAAAGCTTCTACAGTATTTGTTCCACCAGCACCCATTGGCCGGGCGACTAATGCATTTTAGAAAAGCAGTTGTCTCATCTCCCATTGCTCATGATAATGTATCTGGCCGTCTACGTCGAGCCTAATTCTTTTGATGACAATGGTTGCTCAGAATCGTAAAACCACAAAGACATGATGGCATTAGCTGCTGTCTGCCGAATGATACATGGCATTGCAATTAATTACATGTCATTTACCCGGGCTCTACTGCTGTCTGTTAACGCCACTATTGACTGGGGGAAAAAAAATATGATCCACAGCCTCTGTGAGACTTCCAATTCTACTAATCAACCATGTCGCAGCATTCATTTACCCTTCTGAAATGTAAGGTTAGGTAACAAATGAGTGCTTCTTATTGAGGCAGTTATGGGGGAATAAGGATTGTATTATCCTTCCTCTGGGAATGAGCAACAAGAGGCTGAGTGAAAGTAGTCCAGCTATTAATCATCCATCACTACCCCCTCTATCTGCCTGCTCAGTCCATAAACTTTGCTGCAGGCTGTAATAGCATTGACTGATCCTGAACTGCTTCCTAGTGGTTGATTAGTAGAGTGGAATCTGTCTAGTCAACTTTTGCATGGGTGGAATCTTTTTTTTTTTTTTTTAGCTGTCTGCTGATGTCACTTTGGTTCAGCCTCCTACTGTCAGATAAGCACATATAAAAGAGCCATCCAACAGGTCTGTTTAGCTGTTTGCAGAATAACCTTCCAGTTGATCTATTGTCCTAAAGCCAGAACTCTCTTCAGCTGTCACCATGCTGAGGGACGATAAGAGCATGCCCCTGACTTGTTCTGTTTGTAATAATGTAGGCTTCCTGCAGAGGAACAACAGTTTGGAGGACAAGAGCAGAATTGTAAGTTCCTTCAAGGAGAGACAGTCCTCCAAGAATCTCCTGGTCTGTGAGAACATTGAGAAGGAATCAAGGTTCCGACACACCGAGACAGATTTCTCCAACTTATATGCCAGAGGTGAGACCTTTTATTTAATATATACCGGTATGGCCTGTGCAGAATTAACAATCAAGCTCATATCTAACAATTAATAAAATTGTGTAACTTAAGAATGACCAAACTTTTTCTACTGAACTCTGCATTGTCTGTCATATTGAAAATGATGCTGCAATTTTCATTTGCAGGGCCATGCACAATTATTTGTAGCCTCATTTACAATAATTCTTTATTATAGAGATGTTTTAATAGCTTTGGCAATAAATGTGCTGTGAATTTTTCATTTAAAAAATAAGTGGAACACATTATTATTATTGTTATTGTTACTGTTACAGCACAAAGGTATCCTGCTACTCACAGTACTATTATAATTTCAGTTCGGCTTATGCTGCTATGGCATATATTTATTACAACGCACACTAATAATTGCATGTGTGATTAACCTAGTTACAATGAGCTACCATTGTACACATCCCTTACAAACAAGTACAAAGTGCCTGATATAAAATATTATACCGCATGGGGGAAAGGAGTTACCTCCTTATACAGGTATTTACAGTATTAATAATGATATAATGGAAACTACAAGACAAATGAAGGAGATAATGTATTTTATTTCTCCATGTGACATGTTGACATAGCTGGAAAAGTAAGCTATTTGATTGGAAAATCTGAAACTCTTGAACAACGGGTTACACAAATCTCCTTCAGTTTATTATGGTTTAGTATCCTAACGCTACTAATGGCATGTGCACTGTTTAACTTCATTTTTTAAATAATTTTCTTTCTAAAAGGAGCAAAAATTTAACAATACAGGTTTTCAGTTTGCCTGTATTTTTAACATGCATGTTAAAATTAAATTTTGGCACATTTCTATCCCGAATTTAAAATACAACATGTTCTAGTTTTAATGAAACTGGGAAGCCGAATAAAAATGGCGGGCTATAATCAATCCATTGTAACACATTTCCAATCCTTTTATTAGTAAAAATTTTGTTAAACAAAAGGACTGAATATGGAAGGTGAAAGTTCAGGGAGGATTAAGACCCCAGTCATACCGTATCAACAGATGCCAACAGAAGGTGACCTAAGAAATGTATGGGTGGGAATGGGGCCAATGGGGGTGTGCTGAAAAAAAAAAAGTAGAGCATGCTCTACTTTTTTTCAGTGCAACGTAATGCAACATGGCAAAAATACATGTAAACGCAACATAAAGAAAAAATACATAGGGGTCTATTCACAAAGCTGCCGAGGGCAGCCGAGTGAATGACCGATCAGAAGTGAAGTGAGCCGAACACTGTTCGGCTATTCAATTCAGGCTGGTACGGCTGATTTCAGCCGTACATCAGCTTGCTTCGTGTGGCTTCGGATCAGCCGAACATGCTCAGCATGTTCGGCTGACCCGAAGTGCAGAAGGAGTTC